ATACTACAAAAATCACCGGCAAGATTATTAAAACTGGGACAGCTGGTTTAAACTGATCACTTTAGGAGGAATGAATGCTGTGTTGTGAGATTATCCACTTAATTAGAATTAAGTAGATACAAGAATCAGCCAGTGAATAAATAAATAGTGGAACAACAGAATTAGTGTTTTTTTCTCTCTTTCCTTCCTCTCTAAAATCAATAAGTAAAAAATTTTCTCTCTCTAAAATCAATAAGTAAAAAATTTTTCAGAAAGACATTATTAATGATATTAAATTCTTCTTTTACTAAAAATTCCTCAGGGTTTTCTCTCTCATTCTGGATCTAGCTGAACATTTTAGCTTATCAGAGAAAAGTTACAAAGGAAAGGTGTCTATATACTTTAGACTTTGCTGGATTTCATGTGCAGTGGCTGTCGTGGGGTCACACTGGATGGGCAGCGGTCGGACTTGTCATTGGCTTTAAGATGATGTTCTCCTCACTCCTAAAGGGAGGTAGGAAATCATTTTTGGAACTTTGAAAGGAAATTGGGTGCCTGTACTGTATTAGCACAATCCTGTCTCTCCTGTGAATACCCATAGGCAAGAAATTAAAAGCATTAAGTCTGTTTTTAGCTTTAATGGGTTCATTTTTTCATAGTAACTTGGGAAAGAACAGCCTTGCCTTATCAACTAATTTTCTTTTACGTCAGTGAAAGTGCTATTCAAACAGTAGCGTGTGCCTAATAACACTTTAGTTTTTATATTATTGATGGGATTGGCTTGACTTTGGAAGAGTTATGTAACAAACCGATCAACCTGCAAATAAAGATCAATGTCTATTTTCCATTTGCCAGATTAGCCCATTATTCTTTCTCTTGACTTCAAGGTACCTTTCTCTGTGTAATCTCTGTTACCTCCTTACCACCCAGTTTTATCTCACCATTCTTCCACTGACATCATTTTTTACTTAGTCCCGTATTGTGTGTATTAAGTGAATTTTCCATTTTGGGGTGCTTTTTATTTTTAGAACATAAAGCCTGAAGAGTTCTTAGTAATTCAGCATGATAACCCAACTGTGTGGTGTGCAGATACAGATGGCTTCTATGGGGCCGGCAATTCCAGGATGACCTGGAGGCTTGGGTAAAGCACACAGTTGCTTTGTGTTGTTTTATAAATAATTACCCTGGTGCCTTAGGTGCAATTACATTGATGCCTTGACCTTGATTAATATTGCATTCAGCAGATGACAGATTGGATGAAGCATGTTATGGCTTGACCAAATTGAAGTCCAATAATGATAATGCTTAATATGTCACTGTGGAGATTTCCTAATTGTGAATAACAAGTATTGAGCAGCTAAAGCTTGCTTCATGTAACATAGTCGTCAGCAGAATGAAGGAGAGAACTAGAGGTTTGCCAGCATTATGCTGAAAAGAAAGGAGGATATAGAGGCATAAGGGTGATTTCACTTTGTGAACGAAAGCAGTCATCTCTAAGCCTGGCTGAACATCATATCACTTGGTGAGTTTTTCACACAACTGAGTGAATTGCCCCTGGAGATTCTGCTTAGTGGGTCCAGTTTATTGAGTAGATTAACCATAACTACTAATACAACTATTCCCTTTTTATTAAGTGTTTAGATTTTCCCCATGTTTTGCTGTTACTCCCTTCCTCCTAAATTTTTACTGTTCTTCATATCCTTAAAGATTTTATTAAATTTAAGCATCTGGCACCACTTCTGTTTCTTCTTCAGAGCATTCCCAAAAGCGTCTCCATCCATCTTCCCAGCTTGCATTGAATATGGGATTTGCACTTTACTTTGAGAGAATTGGCAGTTACTGGAAGGATAAGTTTAGGTTGCTCATGAAGATGTGAGGACTGTGCATTCTCAGAAGCAGCCAAGTGCACATTAAATCCCTGAGCTGTGTGTTCTTGTTGTGAGCAGTTGGCAACCGTGAACAGAGCTGAAAATGAGTTTGGCATGGGTGGGGTGACGAATGTCTCTCCTGCACTGCCCTTGGCAGTGTGAATTGATAAGACTGTACTGGAAAGTAATTTGGCGTTGTGCATCAGGAGCTTTGAAATAATTCGGGTTCTTTAATCTACTTAAGTCCTTTGGGAACCATCCCGAAGAAATAGATACGTATACAACCATGGTCACCATGCTGAACTTTATGGTGGCAAAAAATTGAAAGAAACCCAAGTGTCTAATGGTACGGAAAATGTTGAATGGAGGCTGACGTCCTCATGTGGTGGAATATCATCCATTCAAAGTTGGAGGGGGTTGGTGGTAAAAGTACAGGGTGGGGCAAAAGTAGGTTTACAGGTGGGAGTATGTGAAACAGTTTATTCTTGCATCATTATTATTCTCCATATAAATACCTGTAAACTTATTTCTGCCCCACCCTGTATACATGACATAAAACTTACCATTTTAACCATTTTTAAGTGTGACTTGGTGCCATTAAGTACAATTGTGTTGCTGTGGTACTGTTAGCAGTCTCCATCTATAACTTTTCTCATCTCACAAAACTCAAACTCTGTACTTGTTAAACAATCTTCTATTCTTCTGTCCTCCTAGCCCTTGGCAACCACCATTCTGTTTTCTCTCTGTCTCCGTGAATGTGACTACTCTAGTCCTTCATGTAAGTGGAATCATGTGGTGTTTGTCTTTTTGTGTGACTGGCTTATTTCATGTAGCGTGATGTTCTCCAAGTTCATCCATGCTGCAGCATGTGTCATGATTTCCTGTTTTAAGGCTAAAGAATTGTATTTACACACCACATTTTGCCTATCCATTCATCTGCTGATGGGCATTTGGGTTGTTTCCATGTTTTGGCTCTTGTGAGGGATGCTGCTGTGAATGCTGGTGCACAGGAGCTGTTTGAGATCTCTGCTTTCGGTTCTTTGGTGGTTTAAAGGTAATCTTTGATATATCAGGTTTTAAAAGATTGTAAAAATAGTATGATTCTCTTTTGGCAGGGAAAGGTATGCACATAGTAAAATGACTGGAAGAACATAATTAGAATATGGGATTCTTTATAAGGAATATATATGAATAACGGTACATAGTTTGAATAAATAGACCCCCCCATCTCCAGATGAATTCAACACAGTAATTTGGCATTAGTTGTCTTCTAATGCTGTCCTGCTTTGCCTCTGAGTTATGAGTTTAATTTCAGAAATATCCCAAGAGATACAGAACATCATGAAATTCTAATTTAATTACTTTTATGTCTCACATAAAGAATCATAGCTGTTATATCACAAAGAAGGAAAAAAGACAGCTAAATAGAGAGAACTTGACTTGAGCTTAGTTTCTTTGATGGCAAGTACATGTTCTTTAGGTAGAAATAATCAGTTCAAGAATATTTTCTTTATTCTTGACTTTGTTAATGTCTCAGTGTAGATGTAAAAAGTGACTAAGTCTTTCTTGAAAAGACTTCATCATTCCATAGTTTGCATCTTTTTAATCTAATAATGTATTGAAGAATGCAGATTATTTACCTTCTTTCTAGAAAGAAGTTCTTTGGTTTCAAGAGAAATGAAAGAATTTATTTGTTGAAAAATATTGAGCATCTTGATATGAATTAGCAGAAAGGGAAGTGTATAACTTCTTTCTTCTCTGAATACTCTTTTTTGTTGGGACCTTCTTGGTTCTGAACAAACACAAAGACCTTTGAGACTTACGTGAGTCTAAGACATAAATCTTGTTTGTCCTTGATAAGACTCGCATTAAATATCAGTATTCTGGATACATGCTTTTTCCATTTTAGAATGGGGAATTCTGAAGAGATGAAAATGCTTTTTACTCACCAGCAGTGATACGTTTGGAAATACTTTTTTCTTTTACTCCACACGCATAACTATTCAAGGCAAATAGTTAAGATTAAGGTAGATTTGATTTTGTTGGCATCAGAGATACTTGTTCTATTTCAAAAGTATGACACTTTAAAAGGGCACGTGATCCTAATATTCAGAAAAATACGCTTTTTCTTTCCTGTTGAAGTTTAACTTATTATAAATTAAGGAAATTTTCAAGTAATATGAAAGCTAAGAATATACTATAATATACACTATTATGCCTGCTACCACTTTTGCTATTCCTATCCTTCATTTCCACCATTAATTTAAATAGGAATGCCTTTATTTTGAAATTGTATTTTTTCTATGTAACCTTTTTTTCATATCATCAAATAGTCATTTATTAGGTATTTAGACTTTGTATTTTCCTCAATCTGATTTTTTAAAATAGAGATTTCATTTCATCAGACAGCTTCTATTAGTCCTTAGGGCATTTATTTTAATTTTCTTCTTCTTTATGCTCCCAAATGAAATAATATTGAGTATTGTTGCCTGGCCAACTATGTATGTGAGGAGACTCTAGAATGGACTTGAAAGTATTACCTTGAAAATACAGTGGATATGAAAACAATGAAGTCTTTTGAAAGGCTGAAATGTTTGCAAAGGTTGATATTCAGTTTCATGCATATTCAGAAAAGGCTTCTTATTCTCTTTGAGCTAAAATTAGTGTGCACGAGTACAGTCTCTGTTTTTGTTAATTTCTTGGTGCAATTAAGTTCTTCATTTCTATATCACTCTTATGGAACTGATTGTTTAAGTATGTTAACCTATCTGATCCTCCTCATTGCTTGGTGTATTTTTAAGGCTTTTAATAAATCCACTGTTAAAGATAATGTGCAACGTTCTTATTTTTAAATTTCCATTGCTTACAGATGCACACACGCACTATCACATTTCTGGTAAACTACTGAAAAGGAGTTTTTTAAAGGCTGGGTTGCTATGGTGAGGGTGGGTTAAGTGGGGGATGCAGTGGAGCTGAGGGTGAGGATATGCAGTCACTGAAGCATTAAATCCTAACAGCACACTGGATTCTGGGGTGAAGGCCAGGGGAATGTTTCTCCTTGACGAGGCATTGGAGTTATGCAAACAGAAGCTAGGACACACCCAGAGTTTCATGATTGAGAACGTAAGTGTGTTCATTTTTTTTTTCTTATAGGTATAAAAAGGCATTTGAAAGTGAGCCAACACTACAGTCTGGAATTAATTATGCAGTCCTTCTTCTAGCAGCTGGACACCAGTTCGAATCTTCCCTTGAGCTCCGGAAAGTTGGTAACCATAGCTCGATATTTTATGTGAAAATTCGTAAACTGGAGTCAACTTGGTACAAAGAAAGAATCATTGATAGATAGATACACCTTTGCTTTCTACTTTATCTGACTTCCTGAAAAAACTTTTAATTATATATCCTTGTTTAGTGTTTCATACTATGGTGCCGAATCCTATATTGGGGTGTAATTCAGTTTTCAGTTTAATTTACCTATTTCAAAAAAAAACCCCTCTAGTTAATAGTTATTGTTTCAGCTCAAACTAATACAGAAAATCTGGGCTCTGCATTCATCCTTCAACCCCCAAATAAGAAAGTGTTTTGTGGAGCATCAGGAACATTTCCTATGTTAACTTCAGTTTGCTTTTGCTTTCCTGGTGCTCAAAAAAAAAAAGAGGAAGAAGGGACCTCTGATATTTTCTGTTTCTCTTGCACCCCTGCCCCTGTGAGTTCAGTGGTGCTGGAGATGGAGTCTCCAAAGCCCCAGAGCACCAGCTGTTGGTGTTAGCAGTGACTGGTACCCACAGAGACCACCTCTGAATTGTAGCCACTGATTGGTAGGGTGTATTTTGTCCCTTTTGTCTGTGGGCATTATCTCATCTGTTGACCCTTCTTTGAAATGTGAAGAGGTCAGGGCATATTAGCAACCAGATTTTGTGTGGTTTCCTTGGTTCTAGCATTCATAACTTGATTCTAGTTGGACTTTGCTTTCTCTTTGAGTATGTAATTGCCATCTTTTAGATTACTTTTCCAATTCTTGTAAGAGTTATTACTACAGACAGAAATACTTGACTATATTTTTCTGGGAGGAAAAAACTTGATTTTAGTGAAACTATGAACAGTAGAATTTTTCCTTTAAGATTTTAAACTGGGGGATGTTTTTATTTAATTTTTTAAGAAATAATAAGCCCTAGACATTTTTTACATTATTTGGGAAGGGCTAATATGTGGGGGGACCCCCAAAAAACCAGAATTAACTTCTGGTGGACAGGCTCCTTGTAGTCCAGGCTTCCCCACTAGGTGAGTATTCTGGGAACCCATCCATATCAGTGCACCAGCTGGCATTGTGAGACACTGGGTTCAGCTTCAGTGAATTTTTCTGAAGACTTGCAACATGTTTGCCTGTTTCATGATGGGTGATTTCCAAGTTCACCTGCCCACAGCTGCTCTGAGTGTTCAGCAGTTTTTTACCAAAAACAGCATAACTCCCATGCCCCACCCTTCCTATTCATCTGATCTTGACTAAGCGACTTCTTTTGTTTTTCCAATGAAAAAATTCCTCAAAGGGAAATGTTTGCTGATGTGAAAGAAGTAAAACAAAAAACATCAGAAACACTAAATGGCATCCAAATCGATGAATCCAAAAACCGTTTTGAGCTGTGGGAAAAAATGTCTCCATAGGTACATTGCATCACATGGAGAGTACTTTGAAGGTGACTGAAGTTTAAGCATGTTAAGAATGAATACACAATTTTTTATAAATAAATTTGGGGATTTTTTGGGTTCCCCCTTGTAAAATAGCCATATGCAGTGTTCTAGGGAATCTTAGAAGGCAAATAAAGTTGGAGTATTAAGTACTTTTTAAAGGCCCAGACTTAACGAATGATAAAATACATGTCGCTGCTGGATTGCAGTGTTCAATGCACAAAGCTTTTTTCAAAGTAGTGTTTTCAGTTGCTCAGTGAAATAAGAGAAAACACATTGCCACTTGTGCTTTTCATAAATTATGATTATAAAAAATTTGCATCTAAGGTTAAATTTAAAACTCTACAGTAGCCAAATAGTGTGTACTCATGAATCAGTGATCTAAAAGTAATTCATGTTGCCTTATTCTTGAACTTACGGTGAATTTTTATTGATAGGTTATTAAGGAATTGATACTCATTTGCATTTGCAGATAGAGTAATAACCTAAAGGTTTCAAAATGTGTGTGTTCAAAGTTTTCATTTTTAATTTAAACATAGATTTAGATAGTCAGCATACTGCTAAATGAGATCTCACCACAAAAAAGAAGTGGTATGTGTGACCTGATAGAGGGGGAGCTAATGCCATGGTAGTAGTAATCATTTTGCAACATATAAGTCTATCCAGTCATGTTGTACAATTTAAACGTACACAATATTATACGTCAGTTATATCTTAATAAAGCTAGAAAAGAAAGAAAGAGGTCAGCACTGAGACTTGAGGAATTGTAATTAATAGAGCTTTCTAAAGGAAACATACTTTGGCCCTGGCTGGTGTAGCTCAGTGGGTTGAGCGCCGGCCTGAGAACCAGAGTATCATGGTTCGATTCCCAATCAGGGCACATACCTGGGTTGCAGGCCAGTTCCCAGCAGGGGATGCATGAGAGGTAACCATACGTTGATATTTCTCTCCCTTTCTCCTTCCCTTCTCCTCTAAAGATAAATAAATAAGATCTTTTTAAAAAAAGGAAGCATACTTTTATTTTTCCCCCAAGAACTCATTGATAATATATGTTGAAGAAGAACTGGAAAATATTACAAAGTTGACTTTTGAGTTTTGGAAATGGTGAAACGTAGACTTTTTAAAATTCTGTGTTCTTAATAACTAAAAGGCAGTTAAAAGTCACCAATTTAGAGTCTGCTCAATTGTAAATTGTGCTAATCAACATGGATTGACCTACCTAAAGTTAATTTTTATATTGTAAAATAGCACTAAAGGGATCGTCAAAGAAAACCAGGTTGACTAAATAATTTAGTAGTCTAATATAAAACATTAATATTATGTAATAAAAATAAGATTAACTAATTAATAGCATATTTGGTATATTTTGAAGATATAATTTAAAAAGCATTTTAAATGTCTAAACACATTTTTCAGTACTTTCTGTATTCTCCCATTGCTTCTCTTGGACCCTTTAAAACATGTAAATTAGTCTGAATTACTGAATTTTTATACTAATTAGATTTTTCTGTATGAAATCCTTTTTTTACATGCATTTTGATATTTTGACTTATTTATTTAGACAGGGTAAACAATTAAAAATTAAGATGTCATAAGATGATCACTAAACCTGAAGCCTTCTAAACATTATCTTAAGACCTCTAATGTAAGACATAATTCTTAACTACATTGCTGCTTGATAACTTTTAATTCTTGTTGTGTTTGTTTGAGGTTGTGACTAATTGCTTTACGAAGTGCTTTACTATCCCAATTTTTGAAAACTCATTGATGTTTTTAAACTACTTAAAACTGTGATTTAATAACATGGACTAACATCTTACATTTTCATCCTGTTTTCAGCTTCACAAGCTTTAGAATTAATATTCAAACTTTAGCTAAATTGAAGATCATTCTCTCATGTTCAGTGGGTTTTTTAAAGTATTACACTTTATGGGAGAGAGTCAGAGTAATAGGTTGGGGTCTCCTACAGTAATGATGATAGAATTAAAAATTCATACAAACCACTATTTGAATCTCATTTTGAGCGAGCAATAAAAATAAAATTTGTATTACTGAATATAAAAAATCTATGAATCTATAAAGATAATCAAGAAGAAATCAAAACAGAAACAAAATTCATCACCAAGCCCGAATCAACTCATCTGTTATCTATGCAGGCGACGACTTCTCAGAACATTGGAAAGGATAAGGAAAAATTAAGTATGTTTTGTTCATTTTAAATACATACTATAGTTCATCCAGTTGATGAGATAAAGCTCATCTTCAGGCAGACTATATACTAAACGTATTTTGTTCAGGAGAATGTATTCTTCAAAAGAATGAATGATAAAACTGATAATGAAAGGGATGTGGAAATAAGGATTTTGGCAAAGATCAGTGAAAATGTTTATTTGTGAAAAAGTTTATAATTGCATATTTACATGATGCCAAAGCTCACTCACATGCAGATTGCTTATTAGTTGCAAAGGAGCAGTTGATACATCTGCATTCCCTCCAGGTGTCGGGCTGTCAGTGATCCAACTAGCATCCTTAGTGAGATGGCTCCGTGCGGTCCTTCTGATGTGGTGAATGTGGAGTAAACAGCAACTCCCGTGAAATAGTCTCACCAAACATGTTTAGCCTGAATCTTAGATCTAACGTCCAGTTAATAGGAATCACAGTGTCTAGAGAAATAAATCAGACACCATTGTGAAGGGCCATCAGATAGTCCTAGAATGTGAGGACATTCCAGAAGGCAGCCCTCCTTGGCTCTTTAAAAAATCAATGTCATTGTCTTGACCAGCATGGCTTATTTGGTTTGGCATTGTCCTGCAAAGCAAAAGATCCCTGGTTCAGTTCCCTGTCAGGACACTTTCCTGGGTTATAGGCTTGGTCCCCAGTCATAAAGAGGCAACCAATTGATGTTTTTCTCTCACATTAATGTTTCTCTCCCTCCCTTTCTCCCTCCTTTACCCTCTCTCTGGAATCAGTAAAAGAAAAAAAATTTAAAGATCAATGTCATAGAAAAAAGTATGGGTGGATTGGTTACATTAAATTAGAGTGCACAACATAAAAAACAAATGTGATTAGTAATTCTCAATTAGATCTTGCTTTGAAACAAAAAAGCTATAAGAGACATTTGGGGAACTATCAGAGAATTTGAATTAGGACCAGATATGAGGTAATACTAAGGAATTGTTATTTGTTAGGTGCAGTGATTGAATAGGAGAACTTTTTAGTTAATGCTGCAACAGTTAAGGGTGAAATGTCATGATGTCTGTAATTTAATTTGAAATGGTACAACCAAAACATTCAGGGGGATGAAGCAATAGCAAAAAGTTAGCAATCATTGAAAATATAGCCCTTCATTGTAATACTTTTTTCTCCTTTCATGCATGTTTGTAATTCTCCATACCAGAAAATTGAAATGGAAAGAATCTAATCTCCACTATTTATGGAGGCTGTATGACCTTAGACAGGTTTTCAAGGTCCCTGAGCTCTTTTTTCCCTACTGCAAAAAGGAGATAATCTGTCATTCATTGTGTGGTTGTATGGATGGAAAATCGTATTCCCAGTGTGCTTTGCATTGTGCCGGGCATCTAATGAGTTGGTCAGTAAAGGCTCTGTTTCCTACCTTCCTCCTTTAAAGAGGCTTTAAATCTAATAGTAGCTCCAAGTTGTAAATCTGTGGTAAAACTAAACTATTAAAAAGCCTTCAGTTCTTAGAAGCCAACCAATTCTGATTATAGCACTTTCTGTTTAAAATGCCTAAATAGACAATTGAATCTTGATATTTGAAGTAGTAATGACTTCTTCAAATATCAGGTGATACTTGAAGAAGCAGTGTTCATTGCTTGTAAATTTAGTCAGATTTTTTTAATCTTCACCTGAGGCTATGTTTTATTGATTTTAGGGAGAGAAACATTAGTCAGTTGCCTTCATACATGCCCCAACTGGGGATCGAACCTACAATGTAGGTATGTGCCCTGACCAGAATGGAACCCACAACCTTTTGGTATAGTGTACAGGACTATACTCCAACCAACTAAGCCAAGCAGCTAGGGCTGGCCAGAATTTTTTTTAAGAAAAATATACTGTTGGTAAGGTCGTGGTAAAAAATATATAATTGTACATCAGTAATAGTGCTTTAGCAATTTGGGCCTATGAATCAAGAGCCTTAAAAATGTTGTTGCCTAGCACCAAGTATATAATGCTACTTCTAAGACTTGTTCCTATGGAAATGATTCTTAAATATGGAAAAATATGTTATGTACTAAGATGTTTATTCCTGTATTCCTTCAGGGGGGAGTTCCTAAATATAACCAATTAAAGCTGTGTTCTTAACTACATACCTAAAAGATGACTATCTTCATGTAGAAACAGTTTTCATACATCGTGTAGAAAAAGCATAAAAGTTAATTCACAAAAGAAGTGCAAACATGAAAGTCAATTTCAATGGTTAAAAAAAGGCAGTGTTGTTGTTTTTTTCTCCACCAGATTGGTAAAGATGAAAGAACATGGTAGTGTCCATAATTGGGAAAGGTGTGGACAAGAGATTACTCTCAGGTGCCACTAGTGAAAATGTAAAATGGTGCAGCATTTCTAAGGAGAATCTGGTAAAATGCATCAAAACTTAAAATGGGCACATCTTCTGCACCTAATAATCCAGGATTAGGACTTGATGATAAAGAAATCATTGAAAAGGTACACAAAGCTATGTGTACAAGAATGTTTATAGTAATAAAAAACAATTATCAGCTACATTTAGCTAGTTAAACTGTGGCATAGCCATATGCCAAAATGCTATTTGCTGTAAAAACAGCATTTTGTCTAAATGCTGAATGAGTTAGTGTCATGATTATGTGCTAGACCTATGCCAAGGCCAGAATGAACTTCTGGCAATCAAAAGTAAATCTGAATTTTATTTAAAATCTATTATTGTATCCCCTTTACTATTAAACACTTTCTTAGTTCCTATTTAAATGTTTGACCTGATTTGCTGCTAGCTCAGACCTCGGCTCATAGTTCTGCATGTGAGAAAGAGACATAGTAAGAGATACTCACTTTCAACTGTGATCGGTAGAGACATGTTTTTTACATCTCGTTTTTCCCACACACTTTCTTCTTTCCTTTGTATTCATTATATTTTTCATTAGGCCCAGATAGGAGGTCATGGATATGGTTGCATATACATGTGTAATTATTTTATCTCATAAAATTTGAAGATTACAATGCTGTTTTCTTTTTAACATCACAAAATGTAAAGAATGGACCTTTTCATGAAACACTCATGACTTAAGTGGAATTATATAATAAAAAGCCTAAAGTTTTAAAAATATTATTTGTTAAAGTATAATTTTCAAAATATAAAATTTCATAACTCATGAAATACAAAATGGACACATGTAAGAGATTTTAGTTAATTGATATTGAAACAGTAAGAGGATATGTCCAGTTCAAAGAGCATTTAAGAAATAAGACTATTTATAGATAATTTAACAAAGAGATGTTAGTATAAGATTTCTGAGTTTGATTTAAAAAAAAACTAGTCTATGTTCAACAGGTCATAATCTTAGGGATTATCTGTTTTACTAGACAGAAATTATTGAGTTGGCCAAAAAGTCTGTATGGCTTTTTCCATATAATAGAAGACATATCTTTCATTTTTACAAATAACTTTATTGATTTGGGTATTTTGAGTATGTTGGCTGTCTCCTGTGTGATATAACATTGGTTATTCTCAATTAACGTCTTGATTTGATTGCTATCAATTTCAACCAGTTTACCGACCGTGGGGCATCATCCAGTGAGAAATCTCCAGCATGAAACTTCACAAACCACTTTTGACACATTTGATCAGTCTCAGCACCTTCTCCGTACACTACACAGACCTTTTTTAGTGTTTTGGTTATGTTTTTGCATTTCTTGAAATAGTAAAGCATAATATGCTAAAAATGTGTATTTTGTTCCCTCTTCAATATTAAAATGACTGCCCAAAATTTCACCATATCATGCTCCTATGAAGACTCTCCCAATACAATCTAACAAAATTATTTTGAATGAAGTTAAAGACCACTAAGCACTACTAGAGCCATCTTTCAGCAAAAACCAAACTTTTGCATCTCTATTGAACAAAAACCCACAAGTTAGTAAGTAAACTTCTCTGAGATCTTTAGTAAATAGTGAGGTGAACTAACTGAACTTTCTATAGACAGTCCTTAAGTGAACATACCTTGATATGATATTGAAGTGACTCATTGAACCTGTTTATTTTACTCCCAAATCTCAGATAATCTCCCCAACAGTTTTGGATGTTAATAGCACTAAACAATTCTGCAAGGACATAATCTTTTTAGACAAAATAATTAAAATGCAAAAATAATACTAGGCAGAGTAGAGATGAAAATTTTAATGAAATGCAAAGAACACAGAAGAACCAAAACAATATAGAGAAGAACAAATTTGGAGGATTTACATTACTTGATTTCAAGTGTTGTTACAAAGCACTAGTAATCAAGAGAGTATAATATGTTTGTTTCCTTCACTTATATAATTATTATTAATTTTGTAGCATTTTGCCATTGCAAAATATATATACTGTATGCATTTGTACTTCAACTGACTGATAGAATTGAGCATATTTTCCTTTCATGTACCTGAAGAATCTGTGGTATAATAAGGGAGCAAAGTAGGTTACACAGCAAGGCATTTGATGTTATTATCTTATAATTTTTGCATATACAGAGATACATAAAAATTCTGCAATGATGTACATCAAAGTGACAGTGGTAGTTATTTTGGGGTTTTAAAGTTAATGGGTTTCACTTTCTTCTATGTACCTTTATGATTAGTTTGACAATTATTACAAAGAATTTAAACCCCTTTTATAATCAGAAACTTAGCACAGCTATTTTAATCTGAAAGGAAGAATGAAGACTTCATTTTGCTTTTTAGTAAAAAGTCAGCTCTGCCTAGCTGTTGTGTGTTTGTAATGTACTTCCTATCCATCTTCTAGGAGTGAAGCTTAGCAGCCTTCTTGGTAAAAAGGGAAACTTGGAAAAACTCCAGAGCTACTGGGAAGTTGGATTTTTCCTGGGGGCCAGTGTTCTAGCCAATGACCACATGAGAGTCATTCAGGCATCTGAGAAGCTTTTTAAACTGAAGACACCAGCATGGTAATAAACTGTTATGTTTTTATACAGTCGTTTTTCATAATCAGCTCCTGTCTCTTTTTTCCACATTGTCATATTTGTGAACTGACAAGTAAATTATTTTATTTGCTTTAAGAATAAAATGCAGAATCTCAAGGGGGGAAAGTGATGTTCGTAAGTAAATTGTGTCAAATATGGGTTCTGATGCCTCACACGTCACACCTCCAGGTCTAATCAGCAGGTTCGCAGTTTCCACCTCGGCCTCCCAGGCCTCTGCTGCAAACACAAGCCATTTGTTTCCTTTATGATCTAATCTCAGTTTTGGAATAACCGTTCTTTTACTTAGGGCTTACTGACACATTTGGGTGTTTTCTGTATATATGTATGTTTTTCTAATTTCAAATTGTTCTTGGCATGCACCCGAGTCTCATCATTTTGTATGTGGTAATTGAAGAGAGGAAAACGAAATCCCATCTGCATTTAGGACTGTTTTGGAAAATAGTGCTGTTACCATGCATCACATGTAATCACCAGCCATTAGGTATAAAGATTTTTAGAGGTTAACAGTGATGCTGAGAAAGACGTAAAGCTGCTCAGAGCCCAGGACAGTGACTTGTTTTCCTCGAAGGGAAGCATTTAAGGACACATCCAACATGGCGGGCCTCATAGCTTCCTAAAGGATTTTCTCACTTTCAGCAAATCCTCCCCGGCATCACTCCCACTGTGATCTTTCTAAAATGCCTGGCTGACCTTTCCCCTCCACTGGGATCCTTGAATCAATATAGTTCAGTGGCACCTCACCATTAAAGGATAAAGTCCATTTCCTTGGCTTGGCAAACAAGGTTTCCCCTTAGTCATTGCAACCTCAGCTTCTGTCATACCCCACTGCTCTCTGTTCAGAACGAACATGCCACGCTGCGGCTTCAGGCGCTTGTGTCTCAGCACCCACGGACAGTGCCCCTCCCAGTGCCCGTCTCCACGTGGGGAACACTCGTAAATTACATCTGCTCATAACCCTGACCTATAACCCTTCCCCACACCCAGAGAGAAGTCCGTGGATATCGTAGCATATGCATGTGTGATTATTTCATCTCATGACAGCTTCTTCCCTGTTTCTGCATTCTCTAGTTATATCTCTATGATACTGGCCATATGACTTTTGTTATTTGTTATTTCCTTGTGGTACTCATTCTGATCATAGAGGAGGTCGAGACTGAACCATGGGTACAAAGAGGTTTGTTTTAGGTCTCCTGGCTTCTGTTGACAAGAAAAGTGGCATTACTTTATGCAGTAGTAACAACCATGAAATGATGCCTTTAATTTCTATTAATTCAATGTTAGCTTTCATGTTTATAGTTTACAAAATGCCTGCATACCCATTATCTCATATAATTAATCTTGTTTCTTGTTTTTTCTAGAAACAAGACTCTTTTTGTGGGGGCACCAGCTTTCTTACCAGATTTGGGGATATTTGTATAAGCTGAGTTGCTTCAGGCAAAGTAATGATCTCTTACAAAGGGTCTATTTAGAAAAACTTTCTTAAGGAAGTATATTTGAAAGAAAATGCATTAATCATTTCCTCGAACAGAATATAGGCATTATTTTAAAAGTTATGTGGTCAGTAAATGTATCATCCAGTCCAAGTTATTCAAGCCCTCTAAAGCCTAAGTTTCCTCATCTGTCAAATGGATATAAACCAGCCTGCTTTGTTGAATTTTTGTGAGACTTAAATGAGATGACATGTGAAAGTCCATGACATGTAAGAAATAATGAGTAATGTTTGGTGGATCTGAATGCATCATTTTTATGCCATATTGACATTTGCAGAGTCAGACTGCGATACATGGGAACAGATAGTTCTAAATCTGCCTCTTATGTGTTTATATCTTTTAATGTTTAGGTACCTCAGGTCTATTGTGGAGACCATTTTGATCTATAAACATTTTGTGAAAGTGACAACAGAGCAGCCCGTGGACATACAGGAGCTCATGGACTTCTGGATGGACTTCCTGGTCGAGGCCACAAAGACAGATGTTACTGTAGTTAGGTTTCCAGTGAGTACTCTGCATTTAACGTAACTCTAATTATAGTTCAAGTTTGCTTCTTTTATTTAAAGTATATCTTGCACTGTGGTTGTAACAGTTCTATATGCTAATATTCCTGTTCTAAAACAATGGCGATATGGTTAATACATTCTTTTCTGCACATTGGTTTGCTTTAGCTAACTTTTTATTTTTTCTAAAGATTTTATTTATTTATTTTCAGAGAGAGGGGAAGGAAGGGAGAAAGAGAGGGTAAGAAACATTGATATGAGAGAGAAACATAAATTGGCTGCCTCTCCCAATAGGGGACCTGGCCTGCAACCCAGGCACATGCCTTGACTAGGAATCAAACCTGCAACCTTTCGTTTCACAGGCCAGTGCCCAGTCCACTGAGCCACACCAGCCAGAACTGCTTTAGCTAACTTTTTTAAATAACTTCTCAAACTCAAAGAAATTAGATACACTTTTATGTTTTGCCATGGTATTTGGTAGTTTCTTTCAGTAAGCTGTAAAGTGTGCTTTCCCAAGAAAATATTGTCTCTTAGTTGAGTAAGTCAGGATATCTCTTCAGACCAGACAGATGGGTATGTTTAATTCAAACCGCAGTCTTGTTGATGTCGTCATGAATCTCAGTTGCCATCATTGTGGTGAAAAGTGTCAGACTCACTTGCCTTGTTATTCTTCCATCCCCACCACTCATGGGAGTCAGGGTTAGATGTAGGATCCACAGTCACTCTCTACAATGCTTTACATTGTGGGAAATGACGACTTGTAGATTTCGATCTGCAACTCATTTTGGCTGGTCTCTATCAAACTGAATATATTTAAATGTATAATAGACACACACACACTTTAAAAGACATACTGCTCATCTTCTCAGGGGTGCCGTCCCCCTCCTGATAGCTCTCACAATAGTGTCTAAAGCACTATGGTTTTAACATCCAGTGTAAGAGTCACTGGCCACTCACTGTGTTCATGCCAGTAAATCTCTTCCCCCATCAAAGTGATGCTTTGAGATGAGAGAGGTCACATCCCTCTCTCTGAGTCGCAGTCTCAATCTTCCATAACCAGAGGGGATGGCCCCTCTCAATTCTTTTCACAAAATCCTGTTTTCTAGTTGATGTTGATAGTATTATCTGTTTGATTTAATTAAATCCATTGCTGGCATGAACAGGCTTTCTTTACTCTTGCTTCCAGAAGCTTTAAACGCAGCAGGGCCTTTCGTTGAAAAGCCTTTCAAACTACAACACTTCACTTTATTTTCTGTTCGAGATTATGTGTAGCTAGGAGAATACTTATCTCAGAGTGAGCTGGCAGCTGGCCTTGCTGGCGCCTGGCGGCAGTAAACACGGTGGTGAGAGCAGACAGCACAGGCCTGGAGTATTTAATCGACTGTTGACTTGATCGACTAGAAAATTAGCTGTGAGAGGCAACCACTCCTGTTCGCTTTTCTGAGCTGATTTAAGTTAGCTCCGTGTGGATTAGTCTGTCGTAATGTGGATGCAAAAAAGTAAAACCTGAAAATGTGAGGAGAGAAGTTAGCAGAATATAAGTATATAGTCAAAGTGAGAGGTTTTCTTTCTTGCTAGAAAGGGACCTATAAACCAAAAAGGCAAATATTGACCAATTTGACTTCATTAAAAATTCAAATTTTTATTCAGTAAATGACACCATAAACACGGAAAATGCCAGACAGGGAGAGAATATTTAATACTAATTTTTCAAAATGATCAATTTGCCTAATAATGCAGAAAAAAACCCCAACCATCTCTGAATTTACAGAGGCAAAAGGAAAAGAAAAATGAGCAAATCATGGGAAGAGAAAATTTTACTGAGTAGTCAAAAAACAAAGGAAATTAAAACGAACCACCAGTGTACCTGTGCTATTTTGCACGTATGCACATGCATCTGCAAGACGGATTCCCAGAGGTGGAGCTGATGCATGTTGCTGCGCTGCCCTCGGGGGGTCTCTAGCATTGCACACGCCCACCATCCACGTGTGAGGCGACTGCTTTTCCAGACTCTCTACCAAAAGTGTGTTATCAGAGTTATACCTCTGCTAAACTTGCCGATGACGAACTCTGCATTGGGGTAGCTTCACCTAGTGTTTCTCTCACCACATGTGAGGTTGGGCACAGGATTGCACTCATGTGTTTCAAAGACCACTCAGTGATTTAAAAGGGAAAACAGGATTTGTTGCCACGATTTAAAAATAAAGAGTTGGACCTTCAGTGCTGTGATAGACTAAATGGTATTGGTATTGCTACAGATACCTATAAAATCTAGACGATACATGTAAAACAGCTGTTTGGAGTCACGAAACAGCAGTTACCACAGTACTACGATTCTTGGGGTTGAGGTCTTGAGTTGAGTCCCACCTTTACCCACTAGTTTTTCCCTGGGGTCATGTTTCTGGCTGAAGCCCGAGGAGGCGGAACCTGGCAGGGAGGAGTGGCATTCTCACTGGGCAGAGCAGGCAGGTGTCAATGCTTGGGGCTTTAAAGCAGCTGGAATGTTAGGGGCAGGCCGTTAGGAGAGGGGGTGCCTTGAAGAGTGAAACCCAGGATTCTGCCTGGCTTTTTCAGATAGTGTGAACAAATGGCAAGCAGGTTGTGCATAAACACTATTATACATCCCAGTCGTTGACTAAAACTGGCTTTCATATGAGACCTACGTGGCTTAAATACACCTTACTGAAGTAAGTTCCCTCGCTGTATTTAGGGATCATGACCCTAGTGGCAAAGGCATCTTTGAAATGTGAAAGCTGGGAAGATGCTCTAGAGCTTAAACCATGCAAGGATAAGGTGTAGGACTTTGAGCCAGGCTAGAAGGATGAGACCTTGCTGAACACCCCAAGCCCTGAGTTGAGACACAGAAACCCACACCCCAGGAGTAAGGGCAAAACCAAAACAGACCCACCCTAACAAAACCAGGATAAAACTGAACCCTGATAGGATCGATGTGATATGCTGATAATTTAACTGCTAACTAGGAGAAAAATCTCAGGAAAGATACAATTCAGAGCATCTGCGGTATAATTCTGATGTAGTCAAAGATTGCTAGACATGCTAAAAAGCAGGAGAAGGTGACTGATAATGAAGAGCTAAGACCACCAACAGAGGCAGACCCAGAGGTGACATGTTGGAGATACCAGATAAGGACTTCAGATAACAGTTACTATGTAAAGAAGAGGAAAAGATAGGCAAAACTGATGAAAAAGGGAGGGTATTTTGACTGAAAAATATACCCTTAAAGTTTATTTGAAGAATCAAGTGAGAAATCAGGAGAATTCACATAAAATTCCAGATTTTCAACTGCTTAAAAAAATGAGCCCTGGCTGGTATAGCTCAGTGGATTGAGCTCGGGCCTGCGAACCAGACAATCACGGTTCTATTCCCAGTCAGGGCACATGCCTGGTTGCAGGCTGGTTCCCTGCAGGCCAGTTCCCAGCAGGGGACGCATGAAAGGCAACCATACATTGATGTTTCTCTCCCTCTCTCCTTCCCTTCCCCTCTAAAGATAAATAAATAATTTTTTTTTAATGAAAGCAGTTGGCAATTTGTGACTGCGTACTCCAAAAGCAACAGTCTACTGAGCCAACTAGCTGCTGTCATTCAAAAGGTTGATTATAGTCCCATTCTTCCTGCTTCATTCATTTACCTTCCCTACCAGGCCCATTCCCTGCAGTCATTGGAGTTCACTTGGAGTTCACTACCTATGTTCCACTGCATAGACAAAGGCCAGCTTTTAGTACCTGTGTAACTATATCTGTCATTGTAACTTGCCATGTCCTTGGTAGCATCTTCTGTGGCTCACAGTAGGTCTTGATTGGGGTGGTGACATGATCCTTCTCTTGAAGTGGCTCTTACTAAAACACACGTGACTTACACTACAACATATTTAATTTGATTGTCTCCATTCATCCCACTACCATATCCAATCTCATTCCTCCAAGAAAAACTGTTGACTCTGGGCAACAGAAAGCAGATGACAAAAGTTCTTTTGGAAATGATTTGAATAGTTCCATTGTTTATTATAATTTAGGTTCAGTTCCATTTATTACTTTTTTTCACCTATTTTCTGTATATATTTCCTTCCAACATTAAAAAGTTAAGTGCCATCCGCCCATCGTCTAATGTGAGATGAGAGGAAGTGGAGTGTGGTAATGCAGCTAAAGTCGACTTTTTTATAGTTCATAGGCTCTGCTGTCTCCCACCCCGGCTGCAGATATGTGAGATTAGCAGCTGACTGTAGTGTTAACCAGTATGGAAGACTAGAGACTGAAAGCAAGAATGCGTGTACTCTCACACGAGTTGAATCTTGATGGTTTTGTCAAATTGCCTCTTCTTTTTTGTCTTTTCAGCTTTTCTGTGACATCCAAATTTGTGCTACAAATTCCTCATATTTTGTCATTTCAAGGACAGATCAAAGGGCTTTAGACAGTGGTAACTACAACCAGTGTTTATTCCCTATCTCAAGGCAGGAACACATAGTTCAGATTTTATCTATTACAAATACCCGAGACAACAATAAACAAACAACGTAAGATGACAGGAGAGAACCTGGTGCTGTGCTTTCTGATGTTAAATAACACTATTTGTCCCCTGTAATTAGGGGACAAGGTGTATTGTCAGTGCAGTGACTTGGATGCTATTTTGGGAGGGGAACCCACCTTTTACTCCCTATTCCTCATTTTAATTGCACAAGCACTGGAATACTGAGATTTGATAGCACTATTTCTGCAAACTTTAGATTAAAAATTTATTTTTGTTATTAACCAGTACCACTTAACTCTTCTGTTGATTGGAATTTGGACCTTAATTCACCTGGTATGTCCCTGATTCAGAATACGTTCCCCTCTGGGCTCTTAGTGTGTTTGTTTTTTGGTATGTTCTATCTTATATTTGTAGCTAGAGCCTGACCAAGAATTCTTTATGCCCTTAAAATTTTCATAGAAAAAAGAAAATTTTGTTTTCTAGTACCCTTTCTCTAGTTCTCTGTACTTTAACTTAAATCAATTTACTGTTAAGATAAGTTTATCATAAAATAAATACATTGTGTTTGCAGTGTATGGCTGAGTCAGTTTTTAACCCAGATTCCTGTTTAGCATGCACTGTAGATTATAACATGCTGTGAATTCTTGGTTGCCAGAGCCCTCTGAAGGTTTTTCCTCCACTTTCTCTTAGTAAACCTTGCTTAATAAGAGATCAGTTCTAAAAGGCAATTATTTTGAGTTTTAAGCTGTGGAGCAGAAAAAAACATTTAAGTTTCTCTGCAAATTATGGATCAGCTTTCTTTCTATTATTTTTAACATTCCTAATTAAGTCTGCGTAGGAAATTTGAGCTAGGCAGGTGCCTTTAAACTCCTGTACAAATAGATAACAGTAGCAGCACCTTTGAAATAATGGCATGTATAATAATGTATAGTATTTTAATGTTGCTTGCTCCTAAAATGAGATATTAGTAGTAATGTAATACATCATGCAGTCCTTCAGTGGTGATTCTCGGCCTGCTTATTACCACATACCCCTCATGTATCTCCAAAACGGGAGCAGGTTTTATTTTTTCTTTTTTCTATCACAAGGCTAAACATATCATTACTAAAGGTACCAGTTGTATTGTAAAGGCAGTATAAAAATATTTCTATTTCATACAGCTATGTCCACTTTTTGGTTTATATATAAACTCTTTTAATATTAACTAAAATCATTTCTCAATCTATTTACATGGGTATGAAAACCATACATCTATGTGACATTATATATATGGAATATTTTCTTTTCTTATTATAGAATTTGTTTTACCACATTTCTGCCTTTCTTTGACATTTATATTCATAGAAAAATAATATGTATTGCCCCCCCAAAATAAAAGCTTTTAAAAAGTACCACCAGTAGACTTCTCGGGCCAAACCAATTCATGGACTTCAGAAATGTGCTCCCAATTTCTATAGCAATAAAAGGTGATGTATTATTAGAACTTACAGTAATTGTATTATATCATAAAATATGCAAAGGGCAATAGTCAGAATTTTAAATGCTTTACTCTAGCAATGGACCCAGAACTTCCTCCAGTAATCAGTGCTGTGTTGATAATGTCAGCTCTGTGTGGTTTGAGTCTTAAGTCACTGATATTAATTTTTTTATGTTTTCAAGGTGTTAATATTAGAACCAACCAAGATATATCAACCTTCATATTTGTCTATCAACAATGAAGTTGAGGAAAAGACAATCTCTATTTGGCACGTGCTGCCTGATGACGAGGTAAGTTGTGCAGTTATTAAGTCAAGAGTATTAACAGTGAGGACTGCACAGCTTCCAGCATTTATGTATTCCAGCAAATATCTGTATTAGTGAAGAAGAAAGAGCTTGACTATATGTGTCCTAGCATAAATACATCCTGTAATACAAAATTTGTTAAATTGGGGTTATGGATTTTAATTCATTTAATAAAATATAATTAAGCTATTTGGATTTTTATCACAGATGACATAAGTATCCAAAGTGCACTTTAAATTGGAATATTTGTTTTATAAATTTATGCTGTAAATTTATTAATTCTAGGAAGCCTGTTTGAATAACACTGCTTCTAGTATTGTACTAGTATGATTATGGTTATCATGACATCTTGGCAATTTGAATATCTAAGTAACTGCTAAATCTCAGATTAGCCACTGGCTCTGCATGGCTGTGCTGCCTCTGGTGTCCAGAGGGATCTTGAACACTCTCATTTCTCCTCACAACAATCATGTGGATAACCCTTTCCACTTCTGTGTTCCATCAGTTTTAATTCATGTACAAATCATCCCACCATTTTTAACAAATAGAAACTTTTCAGGACCTGAGTCTAGTCCACAGGATAAACCACAGAAATGAGAGCAGCGTCATGGCAAAGCAGTTTTGTGGGGTTCTTTCGTAATTGTTTTCCAAAGTTCCCTTATAATGTTCCCTAGTATCCATGCACTCAACAAATACTTATTGACCACTTACTCTGTGACAGGCACTGCCAGACCCTGTGAGGCACAAGGAAGCAGATGTGCACAAAATAAGCAAAAATCCTGCCATCATGGTGCTGACCTGGAAAGGGGAAACTAAAGCAGAAAAGAGAATCAGAAAGTACGCTCAGGGCTGTGGGGTTGCAGTTTTTAAATATATGGGCTTTGAGTCAACAGACTTGGTTTCAAATCCTAACACGGCCCTTGGACACTGTGGCTTTTACAAGCTGCAGTGTGCCTTTTCTTTAGTTCTCACCCAAGGATATTTTTATTGATTTATGAGAGAGAGAGAGAGAGAGAGAAACATTGATGTGAGAGAGAAACACTGATCCGTTGCCTCCCATATGCGCCCCCACTGGGGATCAAACCCGCAGCCTTTTGATGTACAGCCTGAGGTTCCAAACAGCTGAGCCACCCGGCTGGGACCAAGCTGCAGTGTCCTTATTCATAGAATGGGGTAATAATAATATCCACCTCAAACAGTATTGCAGAGCCTGGCATATAATAAATGCTTAATGAATTTTAACGACAGTAACAACAGTAGCAATAATAAAATTGCAGTTGCACACATATGAACTAAACCCTAATGTCCAGACCCCAGAACACCAGGACTGTTCAGCTCTCTAGATGACGTGGCAGCAGTCATTTGGGTGGTGGTTTGTGTTATAGTAGGGAACTGGGATATTGTGAGTTATCATAAGGAACATATATATTTGATCTGAGTCCCCATTTCTGGCACAGAGCTCCTAAAACTCTTTGAAACTTTGTAAATGCTGAGAGCCATAAAGGTGGCTTTTGCTATGTTAATGAGGTGACTTTTGGAGACACCTAAGGAAGAGGCCTTGTTGCTGGAGAACCAAGCCCGTGCAGTGGTCCCCAACCTTTCTGGCAGCAGGGACTGGTTTCGTGGAAGGCAGTTTTCCCACGGGGAGTGGGAGGGTGGGAGGGGAGGCAGTAAGTGAAGCTCAGGTGGCAATGCCAGCGAAGTGCCACTCACCCACTGCTCACTTGCATGCAGCCCAGTTCCCAACAGGCCACACACTGGTACCCCCAGTCCATGGCCTGGGGGTTGGGGACCCATGGATTAGACAGTTGGAACTTGCGGTCCCACCCTCTGACCTTAGGGAGGGGAGAGGAGCTGGTGATTGAATCACCAGTGGCCAGAGATTGAATCAGTCATGCCTGTGTAATGAAGCCTCTGTAAAAACCCTTGAAAACTGGGTCCAAGAGCTTCCAGGTTGGGGAACAGGTGGAGATGTAGGTAGATAGACCGTCTGCAGAGGGTACAGGACCTCCGGGCCCCTTCCCACGTGCCTTGCCCTACTCCTGTCTTCCATCTGGCTGTTCCTGAGTTATAGCCCTTTCTAATAATTTAGTAATCTCACAATAAATGGTTTTCTGAGGTCTGTAACCTGATCTAGCAAATTAATCAAACTCAGGGAAGGAGTCATTGAAAGTTCAGATCTATAGCTGCTGTGATGGCATTATTCCAAGTATAATTATCCAGTAAAAAGATTAGTAATAACTAATAAAACTGTCGGTTTACATGCTGTTAACATTGTTTTTAAAGTGCACAGTGTTTTATCTACATTATTTTTAAGTGTATGCCTGCATGTTTGCACAAGCAGAAGTAGTCACCCAGTTGAAACTACAAAAACTAAAAGAGGTTAGGAAAGGTGAACATTATTATCTGGGAGAGGAGATTTTTCAAAGGCTTGGTTGGAAAGAACAAGGTTATCCAAGGACACTTGGAAACAGAATGGGGTGAAGGAGTTAGCAAGGCTCCAGAAAATGAGTGGAGAGCCAGAAGTATTTGGAGACAGAACAGAAGCCAGAGATTTTTGGAAAATGAGTACTGTTTCTAGCTTGTTGTCACTATTTTTCCTTTCTGGAAGTTCTTCATTTAATCAAGTTAGCCTCGTACTGATTGTCTGAGGTTTTGTGACAGTTGTAGAGACAATTTTCACGTGGTGCTAAGAAATAAACACACTGGGCTATCAGTCAGTGCATTAAGAAGGGTTACAAATTGTGCTGTGAATTGTCTTTTTTTCCTACCATCTTTTGATCAAAAATAATTTCCGCATTTGCATTGTGCTCATTTCCAATTACCTTTAGTGCCAAAAATTCTCCTTGTTCAAAAATTTAAGCTTTCGTGAATCAATTAATTTCTATTTTAGATTTACCAATTTCTTTGCAAACTCTAGTTTTATCCATAGTGTATTCATTGCCACTGCTATTTTCTGTTTTTAAAAATAGAAGTGATTGGAATGAGAACATGCAATAAAAATAAGATCATTTTGTTATTATTGTCAGCTTAAAACAGCTAATAACTATAATTAACAGATAAGCAACAGGTTTAATTTCTTATGTTAAACAGGAAATGGATTGTTTCTGTCATCAACTGTTTATTTTCTTTTTCTAAAAGTAGAATAACAGAGAATGTTGCTTTTTATCTATCACATTTTTTCTTTACTCACTTCCTCTCTCAATGTTTTCATTCTAAATGTGGAATGAACAGTTACATGAACTAGTTCATGAGTACCAGACCTTTCTAGAAGGTACCGAGCCATATAGTTTAAAAAATAAATACATTTACTGAAGAAGATACAAGATACAAGAAACATTGTACATAGGACAGTGATGCCTCAGTCCCCTTCAAAGTAGGTGCCTCGAGCCCTCACACAGTTCTTCCAAATGCCACTAGCTGCCCTGTTGTATTTTCCTGAATCTCGTCAATGGTCTGAAATCTCTTCCCTTTCAAAGGCCGTTTTAATTTTGGGAAAAGTCAGAAGTCACAGGGTCCAAATCTGGGCTGTAGTGAAGCTGAGTCACCTGGGTGATCTGATGTCTCACCAAAAAACTCTGCATAAGACATGATGCATGAGTGAGCACGTTGTCGTGATGAAGCTGCCAATCACCAGTTGCCCATAGCTGCAGCCTTCTGAATCACCCACAGAGTTTCCACAGAGGACTGTTCAAGCTTAATACAAAATTTGATGCAGATTCATAGCTCTTCTCAGTAAGTAGAACGTGATGGCCACACAGTTCACATGCTCGCTCATTGCTCACGCATGCACATTCCAGTCCACTCTCTGGCTGCCAGGTCACATCGATGTTGCGTAACTGTTCTCGTTATATTAGCAATGGCTGGGCTTTTTCCAGACAGATACTTCATTTTGCAACTTTTAAAACTTTAAGATCATTACACCAATTCCCAAGAGTTCAGGGACTCTACAATATAGAGAGTTACTCTACATTGAGGGGCAAAAATTAATTGAAGTCCAGGGAAGTGGGTTTGGCTGGGGTCGGCGGGGGGAAGACAATGCAGACAACTGTAACTGAACAACAATAAAGTGATTTTTAGAAAAATTAATTGAAATCCAATCTTTTAACTCTTCTCCCTTTGTTCAATAGGTGGTTACTGCTTAAAATAAATTAGTACTTGATGAAAGTCTGTACATGTGCATGAAAGAAAAACCTAGATCGAGGGACAGAGAAGTTATTTGCAAGATATTTTAAATGGTTGTCATTTAAGATTCCCGTCCTTCTGGGTTTGATGTGTAAGTTCTCCTGACCTAGCTGGTGGCTTCTCAGGAAGGCACCTAGAGGAGTACTAAGCTCCGGCCCATGGCCATTCAGAGAAGACCCAGGAAATTTATGAGGGGAATATGTTTACCTCAAACTCTCAATTTTGATGATATGATGTTCTCATCCTTCAGGGATACTTTTAGCTACAAAACTCCCAACTAAAATAAGGAAATGTTATCTCATATTACAAGAACTTCCAAGGTGGGTTCATTCTTGGGATGATTTCAGGGCTTGACAGTGTCAGAATTCTGAGTTGCATTCTCTGTATGCTCTTGGCTTTTTACTTAGGGCCTTAAATAGCAGCTCCAAGCCTCAATTCCCAGAGACCACATCCAAAGGAGGAGGGCCAGGTCCTTCCCCTTATACAAAAAGTTGTATCACATGACTGCCTAAACCAATCACCAGCAAGAAAAATAGACTTAACCATGGCTGATTTAGACTAATCAATTTCACCATCCCTAAGCATTGCCACCTAAACCTGAACAAAATTTATTTTTTGTTGCAAAGAAGGTAAGGAAGAGCTGTTGCCTAGGGAACCAAGAGTGTCTGCCAAGGGTAACTCCTGCCACCTTAGCTCAATATTAACTCCTAATCCCTAGCTGGAGCACGGAATCTGAAACTAACCATTTCCTAGAAAATGGCATGTGTGCTGATGAAATAAGATTGAATGTTGGTTTGGGGCTTTGGGGGATTAAATATCACTCCAGCTCTGCTTTGGGGTCCCTTTTCCTCTGATGCCCACACAGGTCCCAGGAACCTTTACCTCACCTGTTGGCCTTGTAGCTCACCAGCACTTCAGTGTGGAGAGCCCACTAGCGAGGGAGTGGGAGGAGGCCTTGTTCCAGATCACTTCATCTTACTCGGGCCCTGGGCTTTACAGAATGTTTCCTGGCAGCACTTGAACCTTTCAGGAAACTAACATTCTGAAAATGCTTTACCAGTTTCCTGCAAAACCAGCCCAATCAACCAGGGAAATCTCTCCTTGGCCACTCCCAGGACAGGGCTGATGGAAGATAGATTTTACCAGTGCCGTCTTGGTGGTGTTCACTAGTCACTGTGTTCAGTTGCAGGTTTGCACTCACCCCCGCTCCTGATCCTGGGGGTAGCCTTAGAAAGAAACTGAGTTGCAGCTGTGTGCACGTTGTATGCAGGTTAACAGCTGTAGCTCCTGGGTCACCTATACTTAGGTCTCCTGAGGCCAACAAGCTTTAGGAGCAACTTTCAAATTACCAGCTAAAGGTGTAGGCTGCTATTTTAATTTAACTCCTTGTGCACTCCGGTTATGAGAACCACATTCCAGGAGCACCTTTTTGTGGTCTCCACATTCCCTGGGCTTCATGCTCAACAATGTTTGTTCTGTGATAACTCAGGCCACATCCCCGTGACCTGATGAATGTGCATTGAAACTAGTTTTTTAGTAAATGTGCCTCAGGCTTGAGAGGATCTGTTTTTTAAGTTGTACGGTCCTAGCAAAGAAATAGTTGCTATGAATATAAATTGTGGCTTTTTGAGTTGCTTCAACCAAAAGGAGAGTTCTGGGCCACATCAGAACTCTCATTACCCGCTTCACTGGCTCAGCCCCGACCTCAACTTCCTGGCAGTATTTTAAGTTGGTGGGAAGAGCTTGTTTCCCTAGCTGTTTTATATTTAAAGCATTGACTTGCAATCAGAATGACTCCTGTACGGTATTTGCTAAACTTGGACACATGTAGCAACAACTTTACTTCTACAAAAATGTTTGTTATTTATTCTATATCATTGTCAGACATTTTTATAGGGAATGTGATCCACCCTGTAATTTATTTAGTTTAGAGACATGCATTTAATACTAATTTTAACTTAGCTTTAATAATAAATTTAAGTAATAAATTACCACAGTTTTTTTTCCATCTTGACCTTGCAGATCACCCATGTTTATCAAATGCTGATCAGTTTTTATGTTCAAACTTTACTAGTATATTAAGTCTCACATGAATTAGGTAACAGCACACTGTAACTGTGGTGGATGTTATATACATGCATAATTGCTGTGTCGTGTTCTTAAGAAATAAAGCCTCCATTTAGTTAAAAAAAACTTAGAGATAATTCAGAACTACTTATCTTTAAAAACTTGTAGAGATTTTATTCATTAATGTTGTTCTTTTTCCACAAAGAAATACTGTTTGACTATAATAATTGAATTACCTTAATCACTGGCTTTTTTTACTTTAAAAATTAATGCACAACAGTTATTAAGTTAATCTGCCAAAAATAAAATTATAGAAGTTAATGAGACTAATTTTCCTATGCTCTCTTAGAGCTGTTCTCTTGAAATACAGAAATTATTACGTAAATATCACCCTTGTGGCTTGAGAATGAATTGCAGTTTCCATCCAGATAATTTGTTCATGAAGAATTATACATGAGGAAAAATTGCCCTGTGTGTCTTATTAAAAAATAATAAAACAAAATTATTGCTTTTGTGTTATTTTAATTTGGATAACCAAACATTTTTTGTTGTTCTTTCCCTGTATTCTAGAATGGTATACATGAGTGGAATTTCAGTGCTGCTTCTGTCAGGGGAGTGAGGTAAGTTTCCTTGGTGCATTTCATTTTCTTGGGAGACATTTTTCTGGACAATGAATATGTTATATGGGACTTGTAGTTATGATTTGAAAATGCATGCCCTGGCTGGTATGACTCAGTGGATTGGGCACCAGCCTGCTAACCAAAGGGTCACTGATTCAGTTCCCAGTCAGGGCACATGCCTGGGTTGTAGGACAGGTCCCCAGTGGGGGAGCGTGAGGGGACTGATCTCTCCTTACCAAAATGTCTTCTACCAGATTGTGTCCTGTGGCTAATATTGATGGGGTGGGAGGAAAAGGAATTCATTAAAAAAGGAGAAAAACCTCATCCTGGGATCACCATTAATGAAGTGTTCTGGGATTAGAGTGACTCACTTCAGTTTGGTTTAGGTGTGACATTGCCATCATAATAACATTGGCTCAGGAAATACCATTTCCTGGGATTTAGAAATGAGGGTTGTTTTTTCCCCAGAGTCCAAAGCCACCAATTAAATATTTAAATACTCATTCTATAGACACTCAGCAATGCTAGACCAGCTATTGCAAGTTTTAAACTATTATTAGTTGTGGTTACTACTTTTTCTCCCCACATAGTGGAAATGAAGAAAAACAGGTTTCTAAAGGCCAGATATGCAGTGCTCTGTTGCTTCAGGCATAATAGTAATTGCTTTTGTGGGAGCATGAACTGGTGGAGCTGTGTTGTTGGAGTTTGCCTGGTAATACCACCTGTTACCTTATGGATGACCTGAACAGAAGCTAAGTAGGGTTATGGATTGATGTGTTATATATCCTTCCAATATATGCCTTCTCAAGTAAAGCTTTATTCTCTTCATATTTAATTTTTAAAGCAGGCCATTAGTAAAGCACTCATTCATAGCTGTATTTTTAAGCAATCCACTTAGTATGGTAAACATAAATTTCACTTTATCTTATCTATTTTCTAATGAATTAATTTTCTTTTAACTAGATATAACATCACTCCATAACCTTTCTTGCAGTTTATGACATTTACCTAGAATGCTTACATGAGGCTACTGCTGGTTTATATGTTGGGAAATTTGAGTCCCAGTGTGTGGCTTCAAAGAGAGCTAACTTATTCTTGCCTTTATCCTCTATAAAGAGATGACAAAGTATAGAAGAAAATCTGACTAAATTAGCAGTTTGCCTCACATCACCTCAGAACTTTCTCATATTAGTTATTGGGCATTTATTGAGCACCAGCTATATGTCAAATGTTAAGTCCTATTCCATAACAATACAAAAAATACTGCCCTGACTGGTATAGCTCAGTGGATTGAGCATGGGCCTGCAAAACAGATGATTGCGGTTCGATTCCCAGTCAGGGCACATGCCTGGGTTGCAGGCCAGTTCCTAGTGGGGAACACACAAGAGGCAACCATACATTGATATTTCTCTCCCTTTCTTCTTCCCTTCCCCTCTAACAATAAACAAATAATTTTTAAAAAGAATACAAAAAATACTAGGACCTCAGGTCTGCTCTCTGAGAGCTCTAGGTCCAGCATGGGAACAGACACGTAACTACTAATGACAGTGCAGTGTGGGATGAACAATGACTGAACTGTGTTCAAAAAACAGAGGTGCAAATAGGTCTTCCTATTTCAGGTAGAAGTAGAAAAGGGAGTAAGACCTAAGCATGGCCTTAAATAATCAGTAGAATTTCTTTATAATATGCATTCTACATTGAAGGAATAGCAGATGCAAAGGCATAATATAGGGATTGACAAACTGCAGCCCACAGGCCAAATATGGCCCACTGCCTGTTTTTGTAAATAAAGTTTTATTGGAACTCAGCCATGTTCATTGTGTATTGTCTAAGGCTGATCCAACAGCAAAAATTGAGTAATTTGGCCCGCAAAACCTGAAATATTTACTCTCTGGCCCATTACAGAATCTATTTGCCAACCCGTGGCATAAAACAGCCGGGCCTGACTGGTAATCTCAAAATCCTTGTCATTGCTGTGAAGGGAACCGCTTGCTGAGTCCAACCCAAGTGCTGCTCCACGTTGCTTCATTCCTCTTAAATCTCTACGACTAACAAGATGCTTTTACTGCCTCCCACGCATTGCCCTTCTAGCTTTGGAAGCATTTTGTTGTTCTACAGATCTCAGAGAACCAGATTCACCAAGGCCAGTCAGCCAGCCAGTTGGTCCTTAGGCTTTTCCTCCCCACACACAGGTCAGTGGTATAGAAGGCAGCACCCCTTTCCTGTGCTACGTCGGAGGGACACACAGCTTCTTCATCTCTGCCACACCCCAGAGCAGCTCTGTCTGCGGATAGGAGCAGGAAGACAGTTCTCAGAAAGTTAAATACTTTTAGTATTGTGGTACAGGAAATAATACTTTTTATTAAACTAAATAATTTTTAGTTCTTCCAGCACAGTTGTCTGCATTCCCCCACACTACTCCCCCGCATCCCAGCCACCCCCACCTCACTCCCCTGAATCCACCCACCTTGGTTTTGTCCATGTGTCCTTTATAGTTGTTCCTGAAAACCCTTCTTCCCACTCTCCCCATACTTTTTAAAGTACCTTTTTAAACTTTTTGTAATAAACAACATTGATTTCATAATTAGGATCACATATAAAATAGTATTTATTTTCATGACAGTACCTGGAAGTATTGGCATTATCCCTGAATAATTCTTTCTGTTTGTTTCAGTATTTCTAAATTTGAAGAACGATGCTGTTTTCTTTATGTGCTTCACAATTCTGATGATTTCCAAATCTATTTCTGTACCGAACTTCATTGTAAAAAGTACGTATGAGTAATGGTTGGTGTGAAAAAGACTGTTCTTGCCTGATCACTATTTTTTTAATTAATGAGTGGAACATGTAGCTCTTGCAAAGAATTCATGGCTATGTGGTTACATATATATTTCCTTTGGGCTAATATTTTATAACTCTGTGGTGTATTTATCAGAGAATTTGGGGGCTCCCTTTAGTAAATCAAGTTTTCTCTTAGTTATTATTTGTTTTTCTCAGACAAATACTAAGACTTACCAGTTAATCGCCAAATATTATGCCTCATTTTAAAAATGCACACTTATTATATGACTACCAAAATTTCCATTCCTGAAGTCCTTGGAATAACCTCACCATGGTCTACAACAGTGGCTCTGTTCATATTAGAAACAACTGGAGAGATTTAAAAAGTGCCTGGGCCCCACCCAGACTAGTTATATTGGGTTTTCTGGTGAAGGCGCTGCCTGAATTAAGAGCCAGGAATTTGATCTACACCAATAACAGGGAACCCGGAACTCTATGGACTGCATTGGGTATATTTCTCTTGGGCTAATCATTTAGCACTTCATGTTCCCTTAGAATGCGTGACTGACTGTGGGGACCTAGAGAAGTGACTGACAGTTTAGAAACAAAGTGAGCCTACAAGCCAGCTTGGACTTAAAATTTTGCTGGGAGTTGTTCTCCTTCAAATGATTACTATTCGAGCCTAATGCCAGTGACTGGCATGCTACTGCAGTGTGTAGTCAGTGTTTGTTTAATCCACAATTATTGGCTAGAGTTTTATCTTTATTATTGTAAAATGTAAAGACTTGGAAATAAGAAAGAATTTTTAGCACATGTGTGGTTTCCTTTTTACTAAAAGGCCATTGATTTGCTTCTATAATTACAGCTAAGATTTATGGAGTGCTTACCCCAGTCTTAATATCTATGTTAATCTTGAAGCAAACCTATTAACTAGGTAATATTCATATCTTTGTTAGAAAGAATAAAAAAGAGTCTTGGAGAGTTTTACCAAAAATTCTATGTATCCTGTAAGCATAAGATCTTGGATTTGAACCAGGCACATGTAACGCCAGAGTCCCAGCCCCTCAAAACCACACTGTGCTCCCCTCCCACCGCGTGTTGTCTTCTGCTTAGAGACGTCCATGTTGGGAACCTCCGCATGCGTAACTGAGCACTTTGACCCCAGATCTGAAAGCCAAGATTGTTTTTTGGGTTCTTTATTTTCTTCTTCCACGTGGTTGAACTTGCTTTTGTCTCTAACTCAACATGGTATTTAATCTTCATGAGAGCCTACTGTTGTTCTCATTAGGTTTGGGAATTTCATTTTTTCTTGTCATTGACCTTCAAGACATGTGTAGAGAGAAAGAAAGAGTGAACAAGTAGGCACCACAAGCAGACTCCACAGATAGACTCCAAACTCTGAAACGGACTTTGTCTATTTCGTTCATTGTCATGTTCCCGAAGTCCCAAGCAGTTATTGATTCTAGTAGACACTAAATGAATATTTGTTAAATGGAAGAATGGATAAAAAGAGGTATTAGAAAAAAAAAAACTCCGCTTTCCCCTCTTCCTATGCATTCCTTCCTGTGTGTCTCCTTATTCCGCACACACAACACTTCATTTCCGACATTTCTGGTCACCAAATGTGTGGCGGTTTTTTCTGTACAAGCAGTTCTTTGTGACACCGGGCACCGTACATTTCTAACAATACCTATATGGAGACAGTGTCCGACCCCACAGGTGAGGGCTCAGGCCCACGAGACATCCTTCCCCCACTTCAGGTGCCAGTTACCTGCCCCCAGGGATCTCGGCCCTGCTTTTGACCGCCTGGCTCTAGATTGGAGGTTCCCGTGGCCCCTTCTGCATTTGATTATTTGCTACAACAGAACATGGAACTCAGGGAAATACTTACATTGACCCCTTTAATTAAGGGATACAATACAGGGCACAGATGAACAGCTAGATGAAGAGATACATAGGGCAGGGTCAGAAAGGGTCCCAGAGCACAGGAGTGTCTGTCCCATGGAGCTGGGGTGTGTTACCCTCCTGGCGAGGATGTGTTTGCCAGTCTGGAAACTCCATGAACCCTGTACTCATAGAGTTTGTGGAGGCTGTGTCCCCTAGGCATGATGAATTACTATTTTTAGCCCTCTTTCCCCTCTGTGGAAGATGGGGAGGAGGCTGGAAAGGCCAAGCTCCTAATCGTGCTTGGTCTTTCTGGGGACCAGCCCCAGCCAGGAGCCCACTGAGAGTCTGCTCCTTACCACAGAAGTTGCTCTGGGTTCTCTCATCACTTAGGGATTTACAAAGGATTTTAGAAACACCCTGCCAGGGACAAGTGTCAAAAGACCAAATATTAGAACAAGAGATGCTTGTTCTTATCACTTAGAAAATACAAGGGTTTTAGGAGCTCTGGGCCAGGAAATAGGGGCAGACCAATATATATTTTCTATTATGTCATCGGTACAGAGAGAGGAGAAAGGTTCTGAATTGTGGTAGGTAAACTTGTCACGCCACAGCCTGCTCCTCCCTTGGGCTGGCAGCGCACAGTGTGACCCGCCTGTGCGGTCATCTGCCCCTGTTCAGAATGCCTCCCTTACTTTATGACGGGAGACCATTAGTGCCCCCTCTGAATGGGTAGCACAGCTGGTGTTACAGAGGGCAGATCTGTTTCTTGCTATAATTGTTTTTCTTGGCTCTGAAATGATCTCCAGAACAGAAAAAGAAAACAAAAACTTTACAAGAAGAGTTCCTGAAGACAGTGTTTGTCACCAGAAGAGGGGTGGTTTCTGTCACACACACATAAGCCATCTGCTCCTGGTTCACATTAGCGTTTCACAGACTGTGTTTACCGGGTCTTGTGTGTGTGATATTGAGGTGCTCAGGCAGAAGATTTAGTCACTGAGACCAGATGTTACAGTGGCCAACACTCTATCAAATAGTGACTTCAGAATTTAGGGACACTGCTCTAGAATATAGGTGTTTTTGTGGTGTCCCACTTAAACAGTAATATTTAACAGCAGTAAAACACTAATAGCCAGTATTTAATGAGTGCACTGTGCTAAGTAAGCACTTTATAAGTGTACCTCAGGTCATCTTCACAACAGCTTAGGAGATAGATCAGTGTAGTCCCCATTTTATAATTAAGGGGTGAGCTTCAGAGAGGTGAGGGAGCTTAACTACACCAACACTAACCATCGGTCCGACATTTAGTCCGCTTTCCTAAGATTCCTCTGACCTTGTCTTACTCACTGTTCGACTTTACACTATATTTGTTACTATTACTTGAAGTCATGCGTGAGGTCAGAAATTTGTTTTCTTTTTGAAAATCATATTTGTCACACTGATACTGATGGTTTATCACCTGACTTTCTTAGCCCCTTTTTTTCCCTGTGAAATGACTTTGGAACATACTTGTGTATATTTTAATGTTTTGTGTATTACAAGTGACCACATACTGACTTGCATCGTAGGTTTTTTGAAATGGTGAACACCATTACCGAAGAGAAGGGGCGAGGCGTGGAGGAAGGGGACTGTGAAGGAGACTCCCTGGAGGTAATGACTTAGGTTTCCATGTTCTTTTTACAACGTTTCTCTGTGGCTGGTTTTTAAGAATGAACTATTTAAAGCATTACTGGGGGGAGAGGGTCCAGGGGTGCATATGAGTGTTGGTGAGGGGGTGGGGCGCAGAGCCGTAAACTCTCCTTTAATGGAACAATTTCAGAGGATTCTATGCAAGCACTGAGAACACTCACCCACCAAACCAGACAAGGAGGGAAATGCTGAGAGTTTTTTCCTAGGAATGTCCAGAGGGTTTTACTGGACCTGCTCACCTCACAAGAAACAGCTTATACGATGATGCTCCGATTCATCAAAGTGCTCCCGACGCACCCTTCTCAAGGAAGCACAGGGATACCATTCTTTTAATGTTATAAAAATATTCTTACACTCTGTCCTTTGCATTCTGTCAGAATAATTTAAAACCTGTGATGTAGAGAGGCTTCTGCAGTATTCCCAGTGGACTGGGTAGTCTGTACAGTGAATTAAAACATACTTGTTTTAAGTATTTGGGCTTAGTGTACCATAATTCCACAACTCATGATATTGACATTTTTTGTTGTTGTTGGTATTCTATTAGCATAACATCAATGAATGGATCCAGTAATGTTTTGGGCTGTGAAGATGATGAGATCCATCTTGACCCACCCTCTCATTGGGTATTCCTTCAAAGCCAGAGCTCCTTTATGATATAGGATATTAATAAATACCCTTAACTTATTTTTTGCATAATTTATGATAATTCCATTATATCTTTGACTACATTTCTTATTTTCAACTTTTTTGATTAAAATAAATTTTTTAGTATTCTAAATATTTGATTAAAGTCAGTTTAGTTAATTTCATTATCACAAACTGACCTTGAACAAAGACATAACTAAAAATGATTCCTCTGCTTCCCATTCCTTACAGTGTAAACAAGAAGTGTAAACTTTGGTGATTAGGTTCCTATGTTGATAACTGTTTTCTGATCTTTATCTCAATTTGAGATAGAATTAAAATTGTTTAAATATAATTCCTGAAGGTTTTAGATACCTAAAACAAAATTAAAATGTTGGAAAGGTCAGACATTCTTTAATGTCTTTACCTTCACTTAGAGTGGTATCAACATTCAGCAAATATCAGCTATTAATGTGGTCCTATAAACTACAAATTTGAAGCTAATGCTTAGAATTCTTGGTGTTTGAACTTTTTATTCAAAACCCAAGTTAAGATTTGCTTTTCTTCCTATTTGAATAGTATGCTTTCTTTTAAGAGGCACAATTGTGGGAGGGGCTCAGCCTCTTTTGGACGATGGTCAGAACCTCCTTCTGATCATCACTGGCTCTGGTGAGATCCGTGTAGCCCGTGCAGGGGTCAGGAGAGCCTTGGGTTCTAGTTCTGACTTTGCCAACAGCCGGTTTTATAACTTTGGACAAAATGTATACTCCCACTGGGTTAAGACGATTTTATTCCTTAAGTGGGAGTTGAACAAGAAGATCTTAAGTATCCTTTTCTAGCTCAAGTATTGTATAATTTTCAAAATTAGTACAAACTGTACAAGGTTTTTCAAATACAGCTCAATACCACTTTTGGAGGACTTTTCTATTTTTAAACACAAAGAGAAACAGCTTCTTTTGATTCAAAGCCATGTCTTTTGACTCAAGGCTATATTTTGACATGGAAGGATTATGAGCACATATCTTAAATAATTTAATGTATTAATAAGTTTATGTAGAAGTTATTGAACAGTTGATTACACTTAATCATAAGGGTTCTAACACTTATCAGCTGTGGTCCCTATTTTTGTTCTCCCAGCCTTCCATATCTTCACGAAGAGAAGGGCATCTGCCCAGCAACTCAAGCCAGACATGTCAGGCAACGGCTTCTCCAGCCCCTCGTACCCTCACACCCAGTCTTTCCTGCGGCCCCTTGGTTTCATTCTCTCTGTCACCCCCCATCTCAGGTCTTCCCACGTGGCCTCTCTCCTCTGTCAGTACACTGTCCCCACTGTCCCTGTCATCACCAGGCAGGTCTCTCAAGGCGAACTTAATCCTGTGATTCCCCTAACTATAACTCACTCTTTATAAGGAGATTTCTACACCATACCGTGTTCTTAACTGTCTAGCTGTAACTTAACCATTTCCTTTGCCCTCAGTGGTCCAGCAAAGCCAATTTCCCTCCTATTTTTCAGACAGCCAAGCTTTTCCTGCATCTGGGCTTGACATGCAGGTGCCTAACTCCACATGCTTTTTCTTCTCTGTCCCACTTGATGACTACATCCGAACTTTTTGAGATCCAACTCATATCAGTTTTTTCATCATTTTCAACACTGGTCCCTTTTCTCTGCTCTCATAACATTTTTGCCCACTCCGCTGTCCCAGCTCTTCTTATTGCCTTGTAACTTGGCAGCCAGCAAGAACTATTACCACCCCAGGCTGGACCGTGGCTCTGTTTCCCTTTTAGTCACATAGTCTCGCGTGGTGCTGCGCATCCGAGCAGAGGTAGTCAGAAGGCTCAAAGGCTTGGAAGGGTTTGCAGCTGGTGGTGGGGGCAACAAAACCAGGCTTGTTTAAACAATATCTCAAACTGGGGGCAGGGGGGTGTAGGTTGGAGGGGACAGAGTGAATGATAGTAAACTGGCTTAACGGTGGTTTAATCAATGTCAAATCAATGAAAGAATGAATACCATAATCAGGCTGTTATCAGCACATTCTCTTTTCATCTCCTTTTCTTATTTTCTTGAAAAAAATTACTGAGGTACTTCTGGTGCTCAATATAAAATACGTTGTGTCTTCCTGTGCACTCCTCTTCTGAATGCGTGCATACACTCTTCCTCCATCTGTCTGTCCTTCCCTCACTCTCCCTCCCTCCTTCTCCCCCTCCCCCCCGAAAGTCTTCTTTATTTATATGCATTTTTACCTCATTGTTTCATCAAAATGGGCATATGATTGATACAAGTCCGAGGCAGTCACAGCAGCTGGCCCCGGGCGCCTGCTCATACAGCTTCCAGTGTGCGTGAAGAGAAAGTTGACCCCTTGCGAGATGGAGTGGTGACAGGGAAGAGGAAAGGGAGACTTTCCTTTGACTCATGCATCTTCGGGATGATGAAATGCCATACCATTTCCAAACAGTGAATTATGGTTTAGAATTCATTTAAATCAGTTTGGAGTCAAGTAGTACATTGGCGTGTTTCTCTTAGCATGTTCTTTCTATCTTTGTTCAGCTTTGAGGCTGAATACCCAAGTTACCACTCTGAGAAAATATGTCACAAAGTGGTGTTTGATGTGAGTGTCAATTTGTTACTCATTCTGTTGGGAGGAAAAAAAAGTTTTTCCTCTACCAACTTAGGTTCAGTAATTGGGGCCTGAGAATTAACTGACAAAAGACACATTAACAGGAGAAAAGAGAAAGTTTACTTATATTTGTGGGAACATACAAAGAAGAACAGCTAGAGTTAAGAGTTTATCTTAAGAAGAAAAGTCCTTAGTAGGACTTCAAGGGAAGGCACAGGGTGGGAAACTCATGAGAAACAAGTGGAAGGCACAGAAGGTTCTGTGAAGGTTTTGTCTGTGTAATTTCTTTCCCAGGTGTGAGTGGTCCTAAACCTCCCAGAGAGGGGTTACAGCAGCTGCAGTTTCAAGAGGCTTTGCAAATTAGAGGTTTAGATAAGATTTTTTTCTGCAGCTGCTACTGGATTTTTCATACTGTAAGATGCACCGGACCATAAGACACACCTAGGTTTTAGAGGAGGGAAATAGGAAAAAAAAGTTTGAAGCAAAAAAGTGCTAAAACATTTAATAATATAAATAACGTAGGCTGCTGCCCTCCCCCACCCCACAGCAAGCCAGGTAAGCTACATTCAGACCATAAGACATACCCCCGTTTTCCTCCCAAATTTGCTGGAAAGGTGCATCTTATAGTCTGAAAAATACTAATTAATGAGATGTTTTCATTCAGCTTAAAATAATCTCCATAGCGCATTTGTGGGTCTAAGTGCATTTCGTCAATTCACTCAACAAACATTAAATGGACACACAGTAGTGCAGTAGGTGCTGTTCTGGGTGTTGGCAACATGACAGAGAACAGCACAGAGAAAAAACCCCAGCTCTTGTAGATCCTACATTCTAGTGGAAGATGAATGATAAACAACTTCAATAAGTAAAATTTGTAGTATGTTTGATAGCGATCAGTGCTAAGGAGAAGAACAAGGCAAGGAGGGAATGAAGAAGTCACATCATAATGGGGTGTGCAGTTTTACACAGGGAAGCCCTGGAAGACTCGTTGATAAGGTGATATCTGAGTAAAGATCTGAGAGTGCAGAGATCGAACTAGATATTTGTACCTGATGCATTTTTAGCATTCTGTTGATATGAGTAGTTATTTATATTTTTCACATTTGTATGTTAAGGCAGTACTGGAAATTAACAAAGCTGCTGTTTGGGTCTTTGAGGTGATTGCTCAGTTAATGTAATTAAGTGCAGAAGGAAGTGCATGGATTTCTCGAAGGTTGTTGTACTGTCGATGTCTTGACCATGCAAGAACTAGGTGAGTCACCACTCTGCCATTTGGCCTTGTCAATACTGTCTTCCGACACTGATTTTCTTTCCAGCACCAGTTTAGATTGTTCCGGGCAGGCGACAATAGAGGGGTGATTCTAGAAGTATTCCCATCATTGCTTCAAAATGCAGTTGTTTCCCTTAGCAACAACCCAATTTGCTAGTCTATTGCCATAGAAATAGAATGTGAAATATATAAGCAGTGTAATCCTACCTCCTATTTTTTAAAACACTCCCTTCCCCACCCCCTGTTTTCCATTTGTGTCGGTTAACATGCCTGTACTCCCTTGGCTCTCGGCCCGGCTCTTGTCCTTCTGGGCCAGGCCAGGCCCCTCGGACCTGCCTTATGGGAAGAGAAAGAGGAGATAAAAAGACACCAAGCAGCGGTTATCCACTGGCATAGTTTTCAGTCACATTTATCTTATTAATAAGTCCTTTAGATTTTTACTATAACCACTT